CAATATCACCCTGGGTCAGCAGACCTGAAGCCAGTGATTTGTTCATTACTGGGCATGTGGAGAAGGTAAGACATGTTAAGGAGGTAATTTACCCATTTGAATCAGCTGTTTTGGATCAAGAACACATCTAAAACCTGCAGGACACCAGCCATTGAGGTCTGAAGTTCCCCACCCCTGGTGTAGGGGGAAAGCTCTACCAAGGCCCACACTGAGAAATCAAAGTCACATCAAATCATCTCATTCAGTCTTTTCACATACAATTTGATCAAACCACAACTATGCAGATATTTTACTCCCTATTTGAATTGTATTAATAGCAATAAAAATAAAAAAAAAAACTAGCTCTACCTTCATAAATATAACAATTACCAGTATTAATACAATAAAATCAAAACGATAACCTGCCAAAAACCAAACAAAAATACCAACGTGTGTACTCACTTGTGGCAAAGGACTTATTTTGACCCATTAAGGTAATAAGGCTCATTTACACCGAGTCAATCACCTTCAATTTAAAGACCAAATACCGAAAACGCTAAAATATTTCAACCTTAGAATATGACTGCATTACATAATAAAATTTCACACAGTGAATACCACCAAAAAATTAAATAAAACTAAATTATGACTTCTGTAAGTCTGAATCAATGTTTGTAGCTATCGCGGATGGCAGGCAAACATTTCTGACACTTCATGATTACTACACCTCGGGTGTATTTAAGGTAGTAAAGAGAACTTTTTTAATATTACTTAAAAATAGTTCCCATAAATAAATGGTAGCTGATTTATAAAAGCTTAGTTTATTACATGGCTTAAAAGCTAACATTAGCTATTAACACACTTAGCTGCCAAGTCCGCTACCCGTTCGAGCAACACCGAGACCCCCGAGCGGACGCCGAGAACCAGAGGAGCGGATGAAAGCGGTACGCTGCCCGTCTGAGAGGCTCAGTAACGGATTTTTTATTTTATTTTTTTAAAACAACTAAATTTAACGGCTTTAACATCAAACCAAACTCACCCACTGAAGCTCTCACCTCCCGCCCTACTTCCTTCCTTCACTCCCGCGTGCAGGTGTTTAACACGCGGCAGGGAACAGTCGACCTTAATGGGTTGGCGGACTGTTCAGTTCAAACTTCCGGTTGCAAGAATTTAAACTTTCTTCAAATAACTTTAACTTTATTTATGTTTTTAAAATGTGTTAATTACTTATATTTATTTTTTGATTTAAAAACTTTAATAATGAATTAATTAATATTTTAATTACAATTATAATAATAATTAGACCTTTATTCTGTGACATTGCCAGGGGACATTTGGATGTTCTTATTTAGGTTCTAGCTTGCATTTATTTTGGGGTTTGGGATTACAAAGCTTATGATACTGGAATTAATTTAGATGTACCTCTATCTACATAGTGCCCATGTACATTATGTGTACAGTTTCTTTCTAATATGACTGTTTTGCAGGTTCTGCAGCTGTGCTCCTGGTTGGACTATGTTTGACTCTCGCTGTTTAATTTTCTACCACCAAACAAAAGTATCTCACAAAACATAATGAAATGCTAAATGGATGCTAAAAGAGTCAGTCAAGCATAATTTCATCAAACAAAAGCCAAGGCCCCAAATGCAAGCCTAGAAAGCAGTCTGCAACCATCTGTCAACCACTAAGGAATAATCTGTAGTCCCTGTTAAACTGCTGGTGAGTGGTTGCTGATGGTTGATGGCAGTTGCTGTAGAAATGATTCCTAAATCAATGGTTAGTGAATGGCTGCCAGTCAATTAGTGGAAAGCCAAAGAAGTATATGAGGTGATGTGAAGTGTTACACAATTTGGAAACTTTCCCAGCCCCCACAGAAGAACCAGGATTTTCAAACCTCAGGACAAATTCTCCGAGTCCAGGGTGTGATTTCACAGAACAGTATTGGCTGCTCTTGGAGGGAATCGTGAGCAGAAAATATAAGCGATCACTATCATCAAAATTATACTAAAAAGCAAAAAGCTTTACTTCTATTGTACTGCTGATTTACCTGCAGACAAGAAGAAAATCCATCTTTACCCATGAATAAACATTTTTCCTTTGGAAAAACATCAAGCAGTTCAATCAGTGAATGCAGTGACATTCATCATGTCTGGTCCTCGAATCCAGCATTTTTGTGTTAACCTTCTTTAACAAAAATAAAAATCTTTTGTTTTCATACTTGTCTGCTTACTATGAGAAACTTGATTTTCCTTGTAATGTTCAAAGTTAAACAGCATGAATCATTTTGAGTCACTGGATTAACATCACATTACATTTTTACAGTTTGCTTTTCAGTCAGGTGTTGAGTCTGTGTTGGTGCGTGGCAGATTCAGACGTTTGATGAACAAACAGAGAGAAAGCAGCATGACCTGTGGCTGTATACTACCCACACAACATAATTGTGTGAATATAAAACACCCGACAGAGCACAAAACATTTGGTCACTATTTACTGTTTTAAAATTACAGGATCAAATTGCCAGCGAGTTTTCTGTAATTTTATGAATCTATACATTAAAGTTTAAGCCAAGAGAGTCATACATGTGGTACAGTGCAAGTACAAAGAGTTCTCCTTTGGCTTTTGTTTCTGATTAGGGTGTAAGTGTGGCAGCAAAATGTGAGCAAAAACTCACATGACTGACTTCGATGTAAGTGGTGCCCCATCTGGGAAATCAGACTGTGTTTCATGTGATAGCAGCTGCTACTGTGCAGCACACAACTGCTGTGCATATGATGCCTGACAGGATCTATGCTAATGCACAAATCTATGGTGTGCCCTATAATGTACACAGAGAGCTTTACCTCTGAGCTGTTGTGTTTGATTATGTGTGATGAGCAGTGTGCTCGGAGCCATTGTTTACTATCAGGCTGAGAGTGCTCTAATGTAATGTAATTGCATCACCAAGGCTCCTTCTGTTTGTCATTACTTCCTCTTTGTTTTCTGGGAAACAAGTCACGCCACGAATGTTTATACACTCTCTCTGTTACTCATAGTATTAGTAACTTTTTGTGCAGCTTAATCTCATGACTTAAACTCCTCCTGACTTGTGAAGAATGTGAGTGAATAATTTCATAGCAGTGCAACTTTCTGCTGGGTGGATGTTATGGATGTTATTTTAAGCTGTTCATCAAGCCCTCAACCCCTTGATTTCAAAAGTCCAAATGATTCTTAAACTGAAATGAAAGCAACTCAGGAGGGTTCAAAGAAAACAACAAAGAGCTGAAGGTGCTAAGAAAGGTTCCCAGAAGCCTTACCTTTCAACCAGCTTGTGGTCTGAATGGTTTTGTGGTCTGACCTACAGTAAACCTACTGAATCTTACTGGAAATTTTACACCTGCATTGTTTGCCATACATGGACACATCAACTCACAAGGCTCGACTTCTGAGAAACCCTTTGGTGGTAAATCATGCTGTGGTGACTGAAGATGATGCAGGTGAGGTTAATTCAACTTGGAAGGATTAAATAGGGCTAAATACTCAAATTCAGATCCCGTGTGTGAGAGAGAGCTGGTTGATGAGCTAATTAATTCTTGCGGTGGCGGAAGAAACCAGAGCTCTGGGAGAAAGGACAGGAAGAGCAAAATAATCAAGTCAATCAAATCAAGTCAAGTAAGCAAATAATCACGCCGTAATGTTCTTCTGAGAAATCTCAGCTCTTGTGTTCAGGTGGATGCTACACATCTAGACCCTCCTTCCATCCCTGAATTGCCACAGTGCAAACCAGTGAGAGTGGACGCCATGCAGGACAGAAAGAGTCCAGGAGCGCTGGAGAAGAAGCGCAAAGCACCTAAAGTGCCAGCTCTCCAAAATCCCCCCCACTGGAACCTATTCTTCCACAAACTACACCTAAAACATCCATCCATCTATCCACTTAACTGCTTGTCCAGCTCAGGCTTGCAGGGTAAGCTGCAGCTTATTCCAGCGATAGGCCCTCAAGTTGGGGTGTCAAACTTAATTTGCTTCCTTTTATATTCCCAAATGGGCCAGTAAAACCACTACATACGGTAATGACATATACTGAAGAAAGATTATTCCCCTTTTTTAGTGTATATTAAAATGGATTAAAAAAAATCTTCCATTTAATAAACCTTTTATCAAACAGATAAAACAGACTTCTTAAGAAAAGTCAGTCAGTGTCTCAACAAACATGCATAAAATATGGATGAATGGTTAATAAAAACACTGGCTTTTGTCTTTCTGTAAGAAATAAACATTTAAGGACTCAGAAGAAAAGTCCTCCACCCTTTAGACTCATAACTTTTATCTTGTCTGGATGTCTGGAGGCATCATATTGTATTGTCAGGTATGGCTTGTGCATGAACTCTGATAGGCTGAGAGCCCAAACATCTCTGCATTAGCTGCATATTCATCCCAGAAGGAGAAGGAAGGAGTCCCACTTCCCCCCACTGACAACGCCCCATAGCACCACCAAGCCCGAGGCAGCATCCACATTTCCCCTCACTAAAACACTTTTTTGTACAGTGATGCATGAAGAGCAGAACTTCCAGACAGCACAGCTGCCGTTTCCTAAACAGAGCAAAAGCTAAACAATACTGACAACAGTTGACGTGGTGAAAGTGAGATGGTGAGATCAACGATACTGGAAACAATGTGAAAGGGAAAGAAGGAAGTTCTGGAAGTTCAGAGGAAATTTCAGCTGCTATGTTTTTGTTTATAGAACAAATCCACAGGAAACCTCATACCCCATGTAAGGCTTACATACAAAGAAAACACAAGGCTCTGTTTTTTCCTCCATTTTGAAGGAGCTGATCTGAGGTGACTCTGGGCCTGGAGGTTGGAGACCCCTGTGTTAACCTAACAAACACGGCTTTGGATGCTATACAAAAAAACCAAACACGGCCAGCATGTGTTCAACTGCTTATTAATGCAAATAAACATGCTAATGTGTGTAGACATGGTCAACACAACCTGTATATATCTATACCTATTAAAGTGGCCAGTGAGTTTATATACACAGTATAAATGTGTATATACACCCAGTGATTTATCAGCAAAAAAGCAATGATGTGATGTCACAGGGCTTTACTTCCTGTATATGACCCATTGGCAGAAACACATAGTTTACAAACATGTAGATGATTATCAGACAAGGATCCTATATCATCACAAGTTTATAAACATTCATGGCAGTAAATGTAAAGCAATGACAACAAAAATGATCAAATAAGAGTATTGTTGTGGTTATTATTGGCATCATCATCCTCAATAATAATAATAACAACTAGAAAGAAAGCTTTCAAGTGCATCACAAAAACAAGATGTTATCAGAAAACTGAATGTACTTGCTGACAGATGTTTAGTTCAGATTCTTTTGTCAGCAATTGTGATTTGGACAGACCCCTGCTGTCATTTCACAGTTACTGGGATCTTTCTATTTTTAGAAGCGTCACCAATTCCCGTAATAAGCTTTAAAAGGTTAAAAGAGTTCATTTGCGGTACCCTGTGCAACAACAGTCGATACATAGTCACCCAATCACCACCTAGACTCAGCTCAGCTCATGAAACCATATATGGCTTAAGATTGGCTCTGGCGTTTCTATTGTTCTGTCAGGGAAAAAAAAAAGAGTGTGTGAGTAGCACACGAGAGCTGGCTGCGACACAAACACAAAAACACAACACTGTAAATCACCCTGGGTGAGAACGAGCCAGGCAGTGGGTCCAACGTGTAAAACCGCAAAACAGGAGGGCAACTGCAATAAGAGGGAACAGAGAGTTTAAAGAGTCTGAAAGAATAGAGTCGTCTTACTGAAAAGCAATTTCTGTTTTTGAGTTGGTGTACAGGGGTGTAGCTCTGCTGCCATTTACGGGAAATTCCCAGCTAATGTAATATCTGGCAAGAAGCCATAAAACATGACTTTGCAGGTGCACCATCTGAAAGTTTTGAGCCAATACTTTGACGTTTGCAACCACCCAGACTCTTATTAAGAATAGGATCCATGCTGACATCTTGGCAGCATAGTTTATACTGCGCTGCAAAGCTTCACAGTTAAATCACCATATTACTCAGATTACTCAGATTGCGCCGGGCTATTTGCTTTTCATTGTGTGAAACAGATTACACCACATGTTTCACTTGTATTCTTAGATATAACCTGCTGGCTCAGATTCAGAACAGCTACAATAACAACAGCAGGGCTTGTTGTGGGTAGTTGATACGCCTTAATTGTCGCAGTGTTTCCTAGAGCCCGAGACACTAAGAGAATTTCCCCAGAGGCCTCCACCTTTCAATCAGCCACACCTCAAAGGTGCACTGCTACAACCCCCATGCCCAATCAGTCTGCACAGTATGAGCACAGCTCCCCAAACAGCCTTAAAAGATTAACAGTTTCAATTCTTGCAGATCACCAAATAATCATACGTCACATTACTTCAGAGGTGTCCTAGAGGAGCCTTAACAGTGGAATTCAGTGGGGAAATTAATGAGAAGAAACTGTTGGTCTAAATACATAAAGGAGTCTGCAAACAAGTACATTTTCCAGTCTAGTTATCACAATAACATAGCTCACTGGGATTTCCCCACATGCTTTATCACACACGGACACAAGAAAGTGCACTTATTATGAAATCATAAACCTCAGACTGGACTTCTCAGAACTCATGTATATTTTGATAAATCACATGACCCTTGTTGTGATACCAACCATAGATACAGTTTCCAGGAAGAGCATAAACACAGAATAGTCATGTCTGGTTTCAGAAACCATTTTCATGTTGTGGTGAATATTAATATGTCAACATGGCAAAAGTTTTAAACCAGACACTGCTCAGGTGCTGTTGAGCGACAGTTCTCCAGGATATCTGAAGCTTATCTTTGGCTGTGGGCTGCTTTTTCACCCATTTTCAGTCCGTGAAGGAATGTTTTTCTGCTTATTAAGCATCTTGACACTGACCTAGCGATGCGTCTATACATAACAAACATTTGAGCAAAGAACACAATTTAAACTTGGACTGGTGTAAAATTACATTTTTGCACCAACAGGTTGTTTCCCAAAGAGATGTTAGCTGGAAAATGTAAAGGAAGTGAACACATGGGGTACAAAAGAAGTGGAAAAATAAAAACACTGTGAAAGTCATGATGATTTTTGAGCCTCTGGGGCAGATAAAAAGAAGCACAACCCCTTTGATGTTTCACACAATGTGAATCCAGAGTTAGTCCTTTATCCTGTCAGTGCTGATGGCAGACTTGACATGACACTTCCAGAGGTAATAATCTGGTAACTATATTGATTTTAATGTTGTGACTGACTAGTTTAAATAATGCTTGAGCCCCGGGATAATTTGTAAATCTGTAAAGCATGCAGTATGGATTACCTAAGTACAGTTTATTTACCTTTTTTACACCCAGTCAGTAACAAATAAAGTCAGAGAACAAGACTCAACCTTTGTATTTGAATGTCTGCAGAGGCACAAGAGCAGTGTCGGGTTACAGTGGAGTTAGTGCCTGAGCTCCTCCAGACTGCTATAACACAAAGGACCTGCTGCTCATGCCACCTCAGCTGCCCACCTCCGCCAGCCTTCACTGGATGCTAAAGTGTCACCAGATATGATGTAAAAAAAAAAAAAAAGAAAGAAAAGAAACAAAGCAAAGAAACAAAATCAACTCAGGTTTTTAATCAGCAGTTTTTAATCCATTTTCAGCATAATAGGGGGACATAAAGCAAAAAAACAGAGCAAGAAGGATAATCTGGGACAAAAACACTCACAGTGACTGGCCATGCAGGTACAGAGTACACATTACAGGAGGAATCCTTTAAATTAATGACATATACGTTATATAATAAGAAAACAGTACAAATAAGTAAGCAAAAATAAAGAAACATCCACATTAGAAA